TGAATCCATTCTAAAAAAAAAAAAAAAAAGAATTTCTTTGAAAAAAAAAAAATTATGTATAGTATATACTGTATATACTGTATATGTAATAATAATAAGTAAATTCATCCCTGTCATTATTACAGCGTTGTATGACCGTGTAGTGACCGCTGGAACCGATGAGCGGTTACGGAATCAACAAAATTGCTTGTTTGTGATGACAATCGAATTGCCGAACGATTGAAACAATCAGAGACCGACTTTCGATTGTGCTCCCCCCCGCATCTAGAGGGATGACGCTAATAATAGAAAACAACAATAATAAATCGATCCATCAGACATATCATGTCATTATGTACGCACTGTATCAATCTATTCGGTGCGCACATACAATGCTCGGTAAAAGCGAGTAAACATGGTTTCTCATGGTTATCATTGGAAGATTGTGCGTTAGCATCCTTTACCGACATCCTTTACCGACATCCTCATCGCCATGTCCTTTTTTGAACCGCTCTTCGTTGGCTTGAAGATTTTGAGGGTGCGGGGTTGATTGCAGCTACAGGAGAAATCGACGAAACGCTAATTGGTGTGTGGTCATCAGTCCATCTCAAATATTTGCGTTCATTATAATCGAATCATCGGCTTGCACCGTTGAAGCTGAAAAAAATTTTTTTTTTTTTTTTTTTTTTTTTTTTTTTTTATTATTATTATTTGTTTGCTGTACCCGTGGATGTGGAAATTTGATTAATTAAAGAAATGTGGCAAACTGACAAATTTGGGATTAATTAATGTGATCGGTTTCCGTATTTTACGTGCGTATATTGTCAAGCACTAGTTTACTATTTAATTTTTTAATCTATCACTTTATTCTGTCAACTGGTGGTGAGTTTGCCGAGTGAAGGATGGATGGCATTGGGTGAGTGAGAAAAATAAACCGAGGGGAAATAAAAATAAAATAAATTAGAAGGCTACCATCGATCTTCAGAAAGGGTTGGTTGTTTACGAATAGCGTGGTTGGTTGTCGAAATAAGGAAGTGCGATTCATGCCTTTCTTACTGTGATGATAAGATGGTTGATGGGAAAATTATAATTGATTCTAAATTAAAATTAAGTGATGGCACGGACAGAAAAAGAAACCATTCGATAATAAATGACATCAACAAATAAACAAGGTTTATTTCCGTTGTACGAGTCATTCGTTAATTTTAATTTCCAAATTCTTTGAGCACATTCATTCAATGTTACGCACCCACAAGTGCGCACAAAATAAATCCCTTTGCTCAAAAGCCATCGGATGAGAGCAGGGCATCAGGGAGCTCAGGCGATGAAGCCTTCTTTTCTCACTCGGCACACTTTTGACACCGACCGACGACAATGCAGAAAACAAATAATAATAAAAAAAAAAAAAAAAAAAAAAAAAAAACAAAAAACAAAAAAAAAAAAACGTGAACCCATTTTTTTTTTTTTTAACTGCTTGAAGTAAACCGTTCGTAAGTTATATAATCAATTTATTATTATTATTATTATTATTATTATTATTACTATTACTATTACTATTACTATTATTATTATCATTATTATTATTATTATTATTATTGCTGTTATTTATTATTTAATTACACACGTAAAAATATTTCTTAAGGCACCCCGCTTTATGCTGTCGTAATCTCATTGGCACCTATGAGACATTCATATGCGTAATGTAATTCGGGATGCACGTACGTAATAAATAATCTAAGAAAAAAAAAAAAAAAAAAAAAAAAGAGAGAAAAAGTTTTTTATACAACTTATATGCATGGTAGTAGGTAAAGTGTTCTCAATGATCGCTGGTTGTTGGTTTGTCGGTTGATACTGAAACTTATTTGCATGTTTTGAATACGGTGAAACCGAATCATCCGATTCTAGAAATCCGCAATCACAATTACATTATAGGATAATTAAATCTCTTCATTGTATCATGGTGATATTTAACGTCGTCGTCTTACAGTACTTAAACTTCTACTTAAACTCACTTTAAACGCTCAATCTCTTATATGCGCATCGTCTTTGTCTTTTTAATCTTGTGCTGTTGTGTACACGAGACGAACGGGCAAGCGGACACACCTATCAATCAACTTTGCTTCCACCACAATCATAATCAACTAAAATGATGTGTGCTGTGATTACATAAATTATATGATAAAATCGGCCGATTCAATAGTCCCTTGCATTAACTGTTAAAGAAAAAAATATGGTCATCATTTTTTTTTCTACCACCAATTCACTATATTTACTCCCACTTAATACGATTAATGTGACGTTGTGTTACCCTGTCATTTAATTCTTCCAATTCTCTCCACACGCTTTTCCTTTCAATTACAAATTTACCGATCAATGTGTATTCGGTCCCCGTGTACTTCACGGGATGATGAAATATTGTCCATCCATTTCTTCCTATACTGTATATAGTGGACAAACCGTGTTTCATATTATGTATTGTATGTGATGTGTGTTTTTCTGTTGGCACAGAATATTGCCTGTGATAGCGGTTTAATTTTATGCATACCGAATTGATCCAACTATTAACCAACTACGTTCATACGTATTCACCGAGCATTATGTGTATGTGTTTATTGATGTATGTGACGACGACGACCTTGACCTTGACAATTATTTGTTAATAAAGAAGATTGTCCTAAAAGTTCACCTTGCAGCGAAGAGGAGAGTGTGAAAGAAGAAGTAAAGAAAAAGGAACAAGATGTACATATACTGCACATACATTATAACATGTGCACGATTAATTCGGGTTGTCGTCCTCTGCTTCGCGTGCCTCGTCGCTTAATCCTATATCAACTTAGATTTCGCCTGCCACTTTCTTACTGCATCGCCTCCTTCCTTCCCCCCTCACCATCACCACCACCACCACCTTTCCCCTCTTATTATCTTTCCTCCTCCCTTCTTTCATTTAAATCCTTTAACACTACGCGTCATTGATTTCTTTCTATGCATCATCTTTTGTCATTCATCATCATCATTTTATCTGTAATGTTCATGCTGTGCTCTGGTTTTAATTTCATCAATCGTTAATTTTTCCCTTCTCTTCTAAGCACATAATGTGGTTTGTTTCGTTTTAATTAAATTATTCTCCAATTTATTATTATTATTACAGTTATTATTATAGTTAGCTGGTTTATTATTGTACCTATCATCATTATTATTATTTATCTGTTATTTATCTTTTATGCATCACTTCCACTCATCACTTGTACTTTAATGTGCGTTCTGATTTACTACTTAATTCTTCCTTTAATCTTTCCTCGCATTATCCGATTCATTCTTATTAATACTTGCTGTCTCTACCGTTTTTTTTTTCTTTTTCTTTTTCTTTATCACAACAGCAATTAATTCTCGTCCCCATTCCTCTTCACCTCGTATAATCAATTAAAAAAAAAAAAAAAAAAAAATTTTTTTAACAACAATAATAATGACGACGATAATAACTCTTAACTAATAATTATTATTTCTCTTGTACTTTGCATAAACCGAATCTTCCTCCCGGTAAGTCACCAATCATCTCTCTCGTTTTTTTATTTAGTAAAAAGGTTACCCGAGCTCTGGGATTTTCTCTTAAATCGTTAAAAGTATGCACCTCTCCTTGATTTTTTCTTTTCTCTTTTATTTATTTTTAATTTATTTTATTTTACTTTACTTTTATTTATTTATTTATTTTATTTTTTCTTTGACACAAAGAAGAAGAAAAGGTCATTCATCAAAGTCTTCGCATTCCACTTCTACTCATTTGTCTCTTTTTCTTTTTTAATTTATTTTTTAATGCCCCACATCCTTTTCTATTTCTTTTTCTCGTTCACCTTCACTCTAACCACATATATTATTTGATACTCGGCGTATCCTTATTATCTTCTATATTTATACCTATCTCCTGTGCACCCTAAAATTTAACGAGGTCCTCCGATTCAGAAAATGCCTGCATGCTTTGGTCACCCTCTTTTTTTCCTCCTCTGGACCCTGAAACATTTATATTGCCATTATGGTGTTAGATGCGTACATAAATTGTAATTCTAATAATTCTAATTTAATTATATCACTCTGTTACTACCCGTTTATTTGTGGTACATAAACTCATTTTATACTTTAAATGTACCGTACTTTTTTTTTTTTTTTTTTTTTTTAAAAAAAAAAAAAAAATGTTAGACACCTTTTTTTTAAAAAAAAAAAAAAGCGAATGTATTAATGAAAAAAAAAAAATTAAAAAAAAAAAAAAAAATTTTTTACCCCTTTTTTTTAAAAAAAAAAAAAAAAAAATTTTTTTTTTTTTTTTTTTTTTTATTAGATTTACGCACTCATTTAAACTACACATTATTAACCGATCTATATTGCACTCTATTTTCATAGGTCTTTTTTTTTTTTTTTAAACTTTTATTCTACTCATATATACACTCGCTTTGACATTTTTACATATAAATACCCTACCGTTCCTTTTTCTATCTCGCATCCATCTCTTTGACTCAAAAAAAAAAAAATAAAAATAAAAAAAATTATATATACATATATTTGTATATATATATTTTTGGGTATATAAGTCCAACCTGTCCAACCTTTGGGTTCAACCTTAAATTTTTTTTATATGTTAATTATAAAAAAAAAAGTTTTATTACCGCGAAACACTGTCCATTCTTTTTTTCACGTTTTCACCCACTTTTCAATCGTTTTCTTTATTTTCTTTTTTTTTTTCTCTTCTTTTCATTAGGTGATTTATTCCTGTCCACCCGGTGTACGTGAAATCGCCTACCCAAACTTGTTGGATAACAATAATTTCTTTTTATTTCGACGACTTCATTTTTTTTTTATTTTCTCTCTTTCTCTCTCTCTCTCTCTCCTCTCTCTCTCTCTCTCTCTCCTCTCTCTCTCTCTTTCTTTTTCCACTCCTTCTCCAGCAAGGATAGGTTCCTTCCATGGTATCAATTTCGACTGGTTTAAGTGTTCACAGCAGCAACTCGGACACCACTACCACAACGACCACGATGCCCACTCCACTATTCTCACAGAACGGCGTCGATGACGTTAATACCACCATGGATTCAATGCCCAACGTTAAATTACACAAAAACAAAAATTTACGACGACAGTTAATTTTCACTTCGCACGATCAAAAGCAGCAGCAACATGTCTACAACGGCGGTGACATGATGGTGGTCGATAATGACAATGACAATTATAACAGCAGCACGAACAGCAGGCACTCCGTAAACAATCATCGCCACCTCGTCTCATTGCCACGACGAAAATCCTCCGTACTGGAGATCTCCAGTCTGCTTTGTGAATTACCAGAGTCCTCGCAGGAAGACGGCTCATTCAGCGGTTTGGATGATGCGTCCACCACCACGAGTCAGCTGGGTGATGCCGAATCGTTAGGTTCGCCGAGCTCGTTTCACAAGAATAGGGAAGACTCCTCTTCAACGCCCGCTACCTCTCCTCCGCTCTCCCCGAACGTCGGTAACAATAGAAACAGCAGCAACGATAGCAAAGATCACAACACCAGCAGCATATCGTCCGTTACCCCTTACGAAACCGTTCGTCCGGTCATCAACTGTAACTCGGAGAGACAAGACGTCAGCAGATATGGCTGCGAACCATCTTGGAAGAGAGTTTGTCAAGACAATGATCATTCCGCTAGGCCCGTATTACCCCCGATCAGGAGTTTCACCTCTCTGCCAGACTTGAGATCTGAGTCATCGTCTAATGACCACGGGAATCTGGATTCTCGAAAGTCTTCGCTTGAACAATTTGCCGCAATCTCTGAGGTTTACCGTTCCAGCTCCCCCAGCATCTCGCACGCCGAAATCACCTCACGTCTACAGCAATCGGCTCCGCCATTTCACCGCTCTCCACCAGAGCCTTCGGGTGTGTCGCATCTCTCAAGCTCTCCGTTGACCCCGGTTCAGCCTCAACAATCTTTGGTGCGCAGGTCCTCGTTTGACTTGCCTCAGACGCGTTATGCTCCGTACACGCCCTCAAGCTTGAATCCCTTCCCAAATCGTCTGTTGTCCCTCGATCAAAGGCGTCACTCGGATCTTTCGGGACTCCGCAATTCCGGTCAGGCAATCACCGATCACCCTTACAATGGTGGTAGTTCTTACCCGGCTTACTTCGACAGGGACGACAGCGGAAGGGGCTATCATTCCCCGAACGCTTCTGCCTTCCCCCATCAGCCGCGACCTTATCCACATTTCTATCACGGCTACCCGAGTCCAAATTCGGTCTCCCACTCTCCGGTCGGCATGATGCCCATGACCTCTTATTCACAGCCCAATTCACCGCACCACATGCATCCGTCTCACCACCACCACCACCATCATCATCACATGGGTTCGCCTTACATGGATCACTCGAACCCGAACATTGGTGCCATGGTCAAGGCGAAGCGCAAGCGCGCAAATCCCAATCAATTGAAAGTGTTGAACGAGGTATTCCAACAGACCTTCTTCCCATCAACCGAACAAAGAATTCAGCTGGGCAAACAACTGGGCATGTCACCGAGGACGGTGCAAATATGGTTTCAGAACAAGAGGCAAAGTTGGCGTAGCAAGACGCGTGCCACATCGTCCGCACCGAACAAGGATGACGATAACCAGGGTGACGGTGAAATGGCCAACGGACAGCCAACCTCTCGAAGGTCGAGTAATTTCAATCTCTCTGAAGAAGAGGATAAAGGTCAGAGATCGATTCCAAATTCCCCTTTGGGTACGCCGCCTCATCATCCTCATCACCACGGGGACTATTTTTCGCATGGTGCTCAGGTGAACGGCAGTGGCGAAAGTGTCAATCCTCCTCCCTCGGCTACCAGCGGATCGAACTCTTACTTTGCTCAACAATCCTCTTCCACATCCAGCGGAGATTACTATCGTTCCAATAATGGACACGCGATGAATTCAGGCGCTGCGGACGTCGTGTCAACTACTCCATCGCCACTTCCTCCTCCTTCCTCTATGACAACACCGTTGCCTCCATTCGGTCAGTCGCAATCGAATAACTCTCAGCCTTCCACTGTTGGTAACGAACGGCTCCCCACTTTTTCGTCTTCGTTTCCACATTCATCATATCACCCCACCACCACCACCGCCACCACCACCACCCCAAACAACAACAACAACAGCAGCAACACCACCATCACCACCAGCAGCAGCCGCGCCACCCCTAATGGCAACGGTTCTTTTAACAACAGGCTACTTGCACCTACATTAGCCACCTCGT